TTCCTTTCTCTGTCCAGTCTGAATCCAGGATATTGTCTCAGAGGTGAGGTCTGGGGAAGAAGCCACTGAAGACAAGAGAGAGAGAGGAAAAACAGAGTGAACTAGGGCTGCTCCTCCTGGTCTAATACTTCCGTGTTCCAGCCGGACTCTCCAGGTCAAACTGCGTATGGAAGGAATGCCAGTCATTGTTCTGCCCCATTCACGGGCTGCGCAGTGAGCCAGCCAGAAGCTAACCTGCCAAGTGGCATCAGGGGGCTTGAGATCTCATCTTAAAAACTCCACAGGTAGGGGCGCCTGGGTGGCTCAGTCATTAAGCGTCTGCCTTTGGCTCAGGTCATGATCCCAGGGTCCTGGGATGGAGCCCTACATCAGGCTCCTGCTCAGATGGAAGGCTGCTTCTCCCTCTCCCACTCCCCCTGCTTGTGTTCCCTCTCTCGCTGTGTCCCTCTCTGTCAAATAAATAAAATCTTTAAAAACAAAAAAACAAAAAAACTCCACAGGTAGTTTTCTAAGGGACACATTCATATCTTCCTCTGTTGTCCTTCTTCAGGAGGCAAAAACTCAGGCAAAGGCTACAGATCCAAACTTCCGTCCTCTCTCAAGTGTTTTGCATTAACTGTTCCACAGTACAAACACAATCAACTTGGTATGTTTGAATGCTTCATTTTGTTTTTTCAAAAATCTTTTAATTAAAACAAAATAATCAGCCATGCTAAGCACATTGTTGTTTTTTAAAGGCCACTTTAAAAATGATGACAGTACCATGGAAATAAAATTCAATTGTTTAGGAAAATGATAGAAGTTTGTTTTCTTCTTCTTCTTCTTCTTTTTTATTTTTTTTTTTTCCTGGCTGTTTTTCTGTGTCTCAGGCTGGTGCCACCTGCTGCCTGGGCTTTCCTCTGAGAAACGGATCTCTCAACCGTTTGCTCCAATCAACATCTGCATAGTTGAACAAACCATGGGCCAGTTCCAAGGAAGACACTACGTTCTGTATGTAGCACACACTGAACCATACTGAATTTCTTTTTAAGACATTTTTTTAAAAGTATTATTAAAGATCCAAATGTATGTGCATGAACTTCCCCTCATGTATCTTTTTTAAGTAAAATATACATAAAATATACCATTTAAACCATTTTTCCTATACGTCTCTTAAAAATAGTAAACAGCAAAATGTAAAGGGTTCATTTATTCACCAAAACCAAGTCTCCTTTTCACCTTTCCAGACCAGTGAACACTGAAAAAAAAACCCAATACATATGGACCTAAAGCACACCTTGGCAAAGTATAACTCGGGCCCAATCTGACCTACTCCCTGGTTTTGTACAGCCCATGAGCTAAGAATGGTTTTTTAAATTTTAAATGACTGAAAATAATCAAAAGAATAATATTTTGTGACATGAAAATTATATGAAATTTTCAAATTTCAGTGTCCATAAAGTTTTATTAGAACATAGCCATGCCCATTCACTTATATTTGTCTCTGGTGCTTTTGCCCTACAAGGTCAGAGTGGAATAACTGCAACAGAGGCAGCACAGAGCCTACAAAGCCCAAATTATTTACTGTCTGGCCTTTAAAAAAATGTCTGTCAACACCTGACCTAGAACCTCATTATAGGACCCCAAATTCTAAACTAAAGATGTTATATTGCCCATCACCAAAAATACCTAATCTGTATATTGTGAAGTTATTTAAAGCAATATTTTATCTTCATCATTTATTGCTGTTGCTTTATGCTAAATAGTGATATTATCAATAATATCTATATTAAGTACACCAACTTGCTTTTATTAGTAGTGGGCCTAAATGGAACTTCTTTTTTGCTTTCAGATTTATAAAAGGTTTCACTGCATATCTCAAACATTTAAATAGATTTGTCTAGAGGCCAAAACAAATTTTCATAAAAACATCAGAGTTCTTTGATATTGGGTCAGTTTTGACAGTTTTGTTTCTTAAACTACTCAAAGCATAAAAATAATGGGTCGACACAAAAGTATGAAAGCATGTCAGTTCACTTTACTCCTATCAGCCCCTGTGTTGCATTCAGGTAAACTAACATGATATCCCTAAGAGGGATAGGGCTCTATACAGTATGAAGCTCTCACCGTTCCCTGAACTCATGGGTTTTATGGCAAGACATACTACTGGCTAACAGGATGAACGCTAGATGAGGATTTGGAGGAGAATGAGCATCATAAAAGGTGTTCACAGCAAATGTAATCTGAGCTGAGAAGCTCTGTTGATGCACACCTGACAGCGCCCAAATGAAGTGAAAACCCAAGCAGGTAGCTTGCCTTAGGTGGAAAACTCAAATAGCACAATTCTACCCAGTCTTCTCTGCTCTTCCTACCTCTAGGCCTCTCCCCTACAGGTCAGTAAATTCCAGACAGGAGCCCACTTCAGAGAGCCCATCAGGCCTATGGCCCTGGCTGCCTTCCTCCTTGAAAAGGGAGTCTAGATTCTACTATCAACCTCTGTCTTCCTCCTTATCAGTTGTGAAGAAAGGGAGAGAATCTCAAAGGAAGAATAGAGAGGAGAAGGGAGATCATTTGGGGTTGGTTATACACTGTAATTAGAACTAGCATTGATGGGGAATGAGCTGTTTTTATAAAGTCAGCGTTCAAAAATGCAAACCAACAGTAATTTAAATATTACAAAATTGTGCAGAATATAAATATTGAAATAATTTTTTCCATCCACAAAATTTTAGAGAAAATTACAGTATCAAAATATATAAAATGGCAAGTTTGGCATATCCTCAAGGACTTAAAAAACTAGTAGACAGCCTTGGGACAGGATGTGATGCTTTAGACCATGTGGTATCTCCCTAAAACTGCTTCTGGAACTAAAAAGGGAAAGTCACTAAAGCCCTGGTGTACCTGGATGGTAGGAAAAATTGCTGGTGAGGCTTACTGAGGCAGGAACTTGGGCCACTTTTCATAAATCATCTCACATGGTTATTTATTTGTCCCTAACTCGGACTCATAAATAAAAGTGCACGAAGGTCTGAAGTTCAAACTGCCTAAGAGCTGCTATATTTGACCCCTCCTAGCAAAGCAAAGGTGCCTGAGGAGAGGATGCCACCTTCTAACAAACATAAGCAGAGCTGGCTCACTTAACACTTTTTAACAAACATAAGCAGAGCTGGCTCACTTAACTACTACTCTGCCCTTTCCAGAAGGGGAACCAGTTTATTTCCACCCATACCTCTCTCTCCGTAGAGGACATTAAATCCTGACCACACAGATGGCAAAGTGGAGCTGAGGGGTTACTAGGTTACAGTTATGTTGACATATCCTGGCTCTCAGAAAGTTTCTCCTTCATTCCTCACATACAGCAAATAGCAGAAGTGATCAAACTTCTCTAGCAGTTTTTGTAGAAGTCCCCTTGAAAGCTGCGGATCACTCAGAAACCACTTCTTGAGCCAAAGGTTTACAGTACTTGGAGACCCCCTTCTACTGATCTAAAGCCAAGGTTTGCCTTTTACAGGGCTTAATCAGACTGGAAGCTCATAGCAATCTCAGGGCAGATGAGGTGTCTAGCACTTGGTGGAGTGTGAAGCACTATAAAAAGTGTTATTAAAATATGTTTATTGACTGCTTTCTATATGTGGGTGTTACCTGCAGTATATCATTTTATCTTCACAACACCTGGCAAAGGGAGTTCGCACTATCCCTCCTTTACCGATGAGGAAACTGAGGCTTAGAGAGCTGAGTCATGGCCCAAAATCACATAGTAAGTGACAACACCCAGTCCTATCATTTTCACTCATCCAAGCTGGTAAGTAAACAAAGCAACTCTTGAGTTTTCCTTCGGCAACAAAATCCTGTCTTTCCAACATCACAGTCTGCGACTTTGGGTGGAGAACCCTCAGCCGGTTTTCCTACTCCGGCAAACGGGTAATGAACCCTTCCCGTCCCTTTCACGAATGCCCAATTCTCAACACCCAGACAACCTGCAGAGAAATGTAACTGGGCCAGACAACGCCCTCGTGCCTGGTCTTCAACCTGGAAAAAGTTCTGCTGCAAAGAAGGGTGTGTATGGAAGCTAAGCAAAGTCCCAGCTTCCATCCCAGTCCAGGGCCCCACCTCGGGAAGACCTGGCCTTGGCCTTGGCCTGGGGAGTGGGTGACCCTGTTTATAAAGTGTAGGATTACCTGGGAAATGGGGCTCTGCGCTGCACTTTCGGGATAAGCACCCTAAGATCTGTAGGGGAGGTTTCCCATCACCCCTTTTTTCCTCTCTCCAAGCTAGGCCCGCACCTGAGTTTTGGGAGGCTCAAAGCGGCCCGGGAGGTAATGAGGAGGAGTCCCGGCTGGGTACAGCGGGTCGTCCCGCGACCCGGAGACCTGCCTCTTGCGGGGCGAGCAAGTCAACTCGACTCTTAGCAAGGCAGAAATTAGTGTCGGGCAAGCGGACGCAGCCGGGAACCGGGCAGAGAGGCTGGGCGTCCGCTGCGCTCGCCTCCGCACCAGCTCCTGAGCCGGGAGGCGCGGGGCGCGGAGGCGTCGCCACGGGGCTTGCGGAGGGGATCCTGGCCCGCGGGAGTCGCTGAGGAGCTTGGGGAGAGGGTGTAGCGTCTCGAGGCGGGGTGCGACGCTGAGAGAAAGGGCAGGATCCCGGGAGGTGCTGGGGCAGAAGGGGCATCCCAGGCCGGGGGGAGTCGCTGAGGAACTTGGGCAGGGGGGTCCTGGGTCCTCAGGCTGAGGAGACGTCCCAGCCCAGGAGGCCTCGCTGAGGAGTCTGGCTAAGGGATCCGGGAGTAGGTCCTGAGGCAAAGAGGGCGCCCGGCCCCGGGGGGCGTCACTGAGGGGCTGGTGGGGCGGAAGCCCCGGGTTCTGAGGCGGGGGACCGCCCCGGCCGGGGGGCGTCGCTGAGGGGCTGGGAGAAGGAGTCCCGGGAAGTAGGAGCTAGGGGGTTGGGTCCCCCCAGGCGGGCCGGCCCGCGTCGCCCCTCGGGCTAGCTCCGCGCAGGGCGGGCGCCGGGGCTCGCTCACTCACCGGGTCCGGGTCCGGGGCCGAGGCCGGGGCTGGGCGCGGGCCGGGCCGCCAGCGTGAGCGCGGCGGCGGAGAGCAGGGCGAGGCGGGCGGCGGGCGGCGCCATGGGCCGTCAGTGCGGGGCCCCGGGGCGCGGCCCGGGGGAAAGGGGGCAGCGCGGGGAGCCGGGGGCGGCCATGGGAGCGGGACGCGGGGCTCGGGCGTGGCCCCGCCCCGGCCGCCCGGCCGCCCCGCCCCGGCCCGCCCTCCCCAGCGCCGCCACCGCCCCGGCAGTGCGGGGCCCGCCCGGCTCAGCCGCGAGACCCGAGGGGCGGAGCCGATTGCGCACGCCCTCCCTTCCCGGTGCGCGCGCCGCGCCTGCCACTCACGCTCCAGGCTCCGCCCACACTCGCTTCCACACCTGGGCCCGCCCCCACGGGGCACGTTATTGGTCCGACCGAGGGGCGGGACCAGCAGGTGAGGGGCGGGGTCCGGGGCTCCGCCTCCGAGTGCCCACGCGGAGCTTTGGCTAGGTTGGAGCAGGCCGGGCGCCCAGTGACCCTTGCTCCACCCTCACTCGGGTCGTGACCCACAGCGCGGGCTCAACCGCAGCGGTAATAATCAGAACAGCAGTTTGCAAACCGCTTTTCCCTGCTTGGTTCAACGTAGTAGTTTAAAACAGGGCGCTCTGGAATCACTCTGTCCGGGTTCACATTCCACGCGGTCACCTGTAAGACCTTGAGCAGGATTAAGAAAAAATAGCTCTCTTACCTCAGTTTCTTCATCTGTTAAATGGGGGCGTTGATAGCATACTCCCAAAGCAGTTGTACTAAATGAGGCAATGCATGGAAAACTTTTACACGCGCACAGTAGGAGCTTAGTAAATGTTGAGTTCCTTCCACCATCCCAGTTCTTGCAGCCACAAAGGAGGCAGCATACTGAACCCTGGTTCCGAATCCTATCGCACATCCTGTGTCAACTGGGGCAAGTTTCCTGCTCTGTCTGAGCTTCAGTCATCTGCAAAATGGGAATAATACAAGGCCGTCACAAGATTAGATGAGGCAGAAGAAAGTAAAGCGCCCAGCATAGAGTCCGGAAGTGGACGGGGCAATGAAGCTTTCTTACAGACTGGGGTACTGAGGCCCAGAGAGCGTGTGACTGAAACTCTCGGGCCCCCGCCCCCAAGGTCTTCCCCGGCTGCACTCTGGGTCTGTCCCGGGCCTCCCTCCTCCCCCGCACTCCCCCAGGCAGAGGAGGTTTTCCTTCTGCTCCCGCCTAAAGCACCGCGGCGACGCCCCTCGGGGCAGGTCTGGGCGGCGCGCCCGCCGCTTTCAAGTCCCTGGTCCCGGGCTTGCAAGTGCGGGCCTGTGCCCTGCGCGGCGGCGGGAGCTTCTGCCCTCCTGTGCAGACTCGCCGCACCCAGAGCGGGGCTGGGGCGGTCCCCGCCCCGCGGGCTCCGGGGCCAGCCTTAGGTACGCGGGCCCTTGCGCCCCCTCTCCCACTCCCAGGGTCTGCTTCCCCGCAACATGCTCCCCAGCTGTTTCCAGGACCGGGCCCCAAAGGTGCAGATACCTCCCACGAGGCCTCTCAATCTTGGTCCCTCTCCACCCACACGACCCAGAACCACGGCAAGAAGAATCTTGTTCACTCATTGTTTTCACTGTCTCTTTCCTGAGCTCAGGGATCCTCTTGGGCTCCTTATTGGCTCAAGGGGACACCCCTCACCCAGTGCCCAACTCCCCCCCCCACCACCATCCTCCACATCTCACCTGGTGTCTCCAGCTCACCCTCTCCTTTCCACCATCTTGGACCCTTTCCACCTTCAAAACCACCTTCCTCCAGCGGGACCTGAGAACTCTTCACCTGTAACATGCGTCCCTGAAGGTGCAGGCAGGAGGAGCACCTTGAAGGAGAATGAAATGAGAACAGGTGAAAACATCAGCCCAAAGCAGACACTCAATAAAGGCGTACCTTCCTTCATTCAACAGATACTCAGTGGAGGAACATACCCAGAGCACCAAAAAGACAAGCTGGTCTCTTCCTCCTAGAAATAATGTGAATTTCAGAGAGCAAAAAGTTCTACAGAGACAAGAAAATGATGTTGAGGGAGAATGGTCTGTGAATTGTTTTAAAGAGAGTGCAGGGAAACATAGTAGCAAAGCAGGACATAGCGCTCTACAGTTTACAAGGTTCTTTGGCATCTCATCCTGGTTTCTGAGGAGGAACTAGGAAGGTGCAGACAAGAGGTTCAAAATAGGGTTTATATGGCCAAGTCTGGGGATTTATGCCTCCTGATAGTGGCTTCAGCCTGTCCTGCCCCGCTGCAGGAAAACACTCCTGCTGAGTGGGTACCAGCCCCTCCCTTCGGTTGGTTCTCTTGGCCTTGGGTCCAACCAGAATGCACTATGTAATTTGCAGGGCCTGGTGAGAAATGAAACTGGGGGCCCCTTGTTCAAAATGATTAAGAATTTTAAGGTGGCTATGACGGAGTATTAAACCAAGTATGGGGCCCTTCTGACTTGGGGGACGTGACACAGGTTGCCCACCCCATGAAGCTGGCTTGTACCACAGAACTCAGATACAGTGTGCAAGCTCCTCTCCCACTGGCTGCTCTAAGAAACATCCCTCTAGCCTTCCCTAGGTCTCCCTCCCCTCTCTGCTAGCTTAAAGCCCAGCACAGGTGATGGAAACAGTGCACAGAGGCTAAAAATATAGCCTAGTGGGTCTAGGTCAGGGCACTTAACAGCTCAAGGTCTTTTGCTCAGTTACATGGTCCCGGCCCCTGGCAAGAAGAAGCCTAAGATATTCATTTCAATGCTTCACATGCCTCAGTCGCTTAGCGGATTTATTTCATGGAGAGAGTGAAGACATTGACTGCAGCCCCTGGGCCTCCAGGAAAATGTTGGTGTCTGTCTGTTTGCCTACTTATGCTCTGCAGTCAAGCCCTTCAATTCCTCTGAGGGCAGCAGGATCTGCCAAGAAGCTGGGAGAGCTCAGCTGGTGGAGTTTAGGGGATCCTGGTATCTTTGAAACTCCAGTTGGAATAATTTCTGCTCAAAAGGCACCATGTTGTGGAGAGAGCCCTGGGTAAGGAGCCCGATTCTAATAACAACGAGAGCAAACATTTACCGAGGACGTTGCTAAACTCTAGGCAGGGTATGGTGCTTGCCGTCACACTTCACACAATGCTTCCAGTAGCCCTATGAGAGAGGCACCCTCACCACCTCCCTCATACGGAGAGATTGAATGGCTTGCCCAAAGGTCACATAGTGGTGGAGCTGGGCTTTGAACCCAGGCAGCGGGACTCCAGGACTAGATTCCTACATTGGTGAATTGCCTACTTGTCCTTCCGGGGTTCTGGCAACAAATACTTACCGAGTGGTCCAGGGGCACAATTAGGGTGAGGCAAGTGAGGCATTCACATCAGGCACACAACCTTAAGGGGGCCCAAAAAACTCAGTAATCAAGATAAATAAATAAATATTATTTAATAAGCTGTAAAAATATACTACATATATTTCGTATTATTTCAATGCAATATCTTTAGGAAGATAAATTAATGCCCTCCTGAAATTCATACTACACGAAATATCAAAATTTTAAATAAAAACAGAATCTTTAGCCTCCGGCTCGGCTCAGTGCTGTACTGTTACGGATCCTGTCTCAGATTTCTGAGTCAGAAAGCTAGTGATGGGAAACTCAAGAGAAGTAGTGGTTTTGCTTGTTCTGATGGGGATAAGGGAAACGAAGGAATTTGGTTTTGAACGTAATGAATTAGAGGCATCCAGGTGGCCCCGTCAGAGAACTGAGTCCGGTGGGAAGGGGTGCCAGGGTGAGCAGGGCACCCTTATTTCGTGTACTTGGCCCAAGATAGGTGCGCGTTCAGCACATGTGGTTTAAATCACTGGTCCTCTGAGTTTGCATCATGGTTCAGGAATCTTCTCAAATTCTCTCATCCAAAGTTTTTCTCTTCTTTCCTAAACCTTCTACATCACAAACCTCAGATATGTTCCCATATGGGTGTGGAAGTTTACTGCTTGGGTGTTAAAATAAAAACATCTTCCGAGGAAATTAAAAACAACTAAATTCCACTAGAATCTGGGGATGGGGCGTGAAGGGGGAAGACGAGAATAATTATGACTTGGCTCAATTTCCTCGTTATCAACGGACCTTCCAGAAGGAGAATGGGAGCAAAGAGGAATCAAAGAGAGGAAGGTGGTCGTCAAGGAAAGAAAGAAAGAAGAAAGATTATAGGAGCTAAAAATATGGTGAGGAGAGCTTGGCCAGGCATCAAAGAAGGGCAGATGTGTTTCCAAACAGAAGTGGTGGTTTAGGTATGTCAGGAAGTACAGCTCCAAATGATCGGTGGAAAATAAAGGCTATTTAGACTGAGCTCAGCAGAATAAAAAGGTTCATTGGAGAATCAAACTGAGGAACAGGCCTTTCAACTACACCGAAGCCCTGCTGCCTCATCCCCAGGTTCTCTGGACCAAGTGTTGGCGCCAACGGTGGAAACTCTTGCCATAGTCTCAGGACCCTGGACCAAATAGACTCTTTCCATCTTGACTTTATAATTCTGAACAATCTCCGTTAAAGACCAGTCACTCTCCTTAGTATATCCTCAGGTACCTTCTTTCCTTGCCATCTCAGGAAGCATGAGATATTCCGGGCAACTCCCACAGCCAGGGGGAAATGTAGCTCCTGTAAATCGAGCACTTCTGTGAGGCTGAAGTATCTGACAAATGTTTAGTGAAGGTGGATCCTGGGAAGAGAAATGTCATGCTACCCAAGTTCAGATCAGAATCATTCCCCACTTCAAGAGGCTCATTGCTTGGCCTCATAAAGGACCCGAGATGAGGTTCATATCAAATGTTGAGTTATGTCACTCCTACCACGGGCAACAGGGGCTCAAGAAAGCGTCAGCTGAGCAAATGGGCTGCAGTAATAATATTAATAAGAACATTATTTATTGAGGCTTCCTATGTGCCAGGAGCCATACCGAGTGCCTCCCATGCTTTGTCCCATTTCATCCTCACAGTTATTCCTGGGGTAGGCACTGTTACTATCCCCATTTCACAGACGGGGAGAGTAAGGTTCAGAGATGTGAATTGACTTGCCTATCGAGAG